CCTTCAACCTGTAATATTCGATGGGCCATTTTGACACTACATAAACATAAAAGGCGAAAAAACACCTTAACTTATATGACTAACTATTAAATATCACCTAAATAGTTTCTGTATATCGCATAGAAATACGCCAAATATTAAATTTGATTACAGATTGCAGCGATGTGAAGATATAAAGCAATAAATCTGAACCTACCTCCAGCTAGACGGCGCCATTTTTTTTGCCCTCACAGCGGATCGAGAGCGGAAAGGCCAACTAGTTCCAGTCCTACTCCGCATCACAGCTGAACCAGAGAGCGCGTATGAGAGTTTCAACACCCTAGCTTCTTACGCCCTGTATAGAACTGCCGGTCATTAAGGTGACTCGACCCAGTTTTTTTGGGGGGTACCATCCTACTTTGAAGCTCTCTGATATCGCCACCTTTACTTTTATCGTAAGTCTAACACATAGAATGGATAACATATAGATCAATCTACAATATAACATAAAATTTTTGGCGATCGGAGTAAATGTCACGTGGTTATAATGCCACTTCCCTTTGAGGTCTGAGTCGAAAATCTGCTGTTGCCGAAATTTTTTCGTGAAAATCTCTCGGCTACACATAGTGCGCATTAGTGCCTTGCTCTGAACAGAGTTTCACCAAATCGCAAAGACTCAATTCGAGAAATTCAGCAGTTTCCAAATTTAGGTCATAATTTATGCGAAAATGATTAGCAAACTTTACACGGATTATATCTAATATGCTATGAGATTCATCTCTTTATTTTGGGCATCGCTATAACAGATGGGTCCTTGCAAGTCAGCAAAACGCTTTAGGGCCTTGTAAATGCGCGCGATTTCGAGCAAAGCAAACATATAGAAATTATAGTTTTCGCTATTTGTTGACGTTTGTCAGCGTTTAAGAGTCCTTCTCACGAAAAAAGCATTTTCTTAAAAATTCGTAGTTTTTTTCCCTTCAAATTTTTTCAGGGCCACAATTGATTACCTAACTACCCGGACTCTGAATTTCATGGTCATTAAAAACCTGTGACATTATCTTCTATAAGCCCAACCTTGAGTAAACATAATGTAGATTTTTAGCGTTTTGGCTGAGTTTGTGCTTTGGGAGTTGTCTATTGTTTCTAGTCTGTCATTATACAGCATTCTTGTTCAGCACGCTTGCAATGACCGCGCTTGGTGGCTGGCTTCCGAATGCTCACCGAGATATGATAATTTTGCTACAGTGAGACAGGCCATCGCGTGATACATAGAGGTTTAACTCACAATTTTTAATCAATTCTCGTGTTTCTTGTGCCTTTGCAAAAAAAATCAAGAAGTGCTACACATGCACTAAATCTACTTACTATTAAAAAGATATCTTTTTTTCATAGGTTTAATGCAAGCCAATAATTAAACCTACTCGGGACGGGAATATCTCGGTGAGCATTCGGAAGTCAGCCAAGCGTGGTCATTGCACGCGTGCTGAACAAGAATGCTGTATAATGACAGACTAGAAACAATAGACAACTTATGAGTTTCTGGTTAAACTAAAACGACCTAAAACAAATCAAGTCGACAACAGCCGCCTCCTCCGAACTTCGAATGTTTGGCGGCATGTTTGCACCCTATTAGAACACGTTTTTTCCTCAAGTGTACACGCTTAGATGCAACCGACGGTAGCTTACCGTTGCAGTTGGTGTGACTTGAAATGAAGACAGTTTAATACCAGCATTTGATTCTCCTTTAGCTATGTTTTGCCAAGAGAGAACGAGCTGCATTATCTCTTGGTTTTACTCACTAATCCGCGCCAGGACTAGATCGGTCGGTAGAGCGCTTGACTGCAGCACATGAGGTCACGGGTTCGATCCGCGATGCCAGACCCGTAAAACGGAGGGTTTTAAAATACTGGAGGAATGAAGGTACCGCCTTTACCCTGCAAACGGCTAGGTCTTCGTGTGGCTGCGATGACCTCGACGGTAAAATGTATGGCGGTCCCGTTTCCAGTGGGAGACATAATTAAAATAGTGTCCAATTTTAGTACTTTGCTCTAACATAAAGTGCGGTTTTTTTTCTAGATGAAGAGATTTCGTCTGCAGCTACTTAAGGGAGGCAAGTTTTTCACTGGCTACAACAGACGTGTTAGCGCTCAAGTGTCAACGGCCTTCGCTGTTGCTGGATACCGATTTGGTCACAGTTTGGTTCAAGAAATGTTTAATCGATTCGATCAAGATCTCTTTGAGCACCAATGCAGCAAATGTGACGGCAAAGGCAAATCAGAGTTCTTGCCTATCGCAGTATTGGATTTTAATAATCCAGAATACTTGTACGATTCGTGTAAAGGAGGTGTAGACACCATTATAAGGGGCTTAGTTAAAGATCCTGCAGGGAAAGCTGACGGGTAAGTAAAATGCTACAGGTGTATGCAAAAATATCATCAATTCTTTTTATTTTGTTGTATTTTTTATTTATTTATTTCACCAAATATAAGTATATTACAGTAGAAATAGTAAAAGAAAACAAGTACTCATCGGTGTCAAAATTCTGGGCTAAGAATTACAATCGAGTGGTTAATTAGAAATTAGATTACAAATTCACTAGATCGGCCTACATATCATCTTATGACAACAATAAAAACTCATGCTACTGTATATTGTGATATATAGATTTAGCCAGGGCTTAAAGCGAAGCCTCCGTTTATATACTTATAGCAAAAGCAATAAAATTTGAACTAACAAGCTCTAAGCCACTAATAAATCCCTACTTAACTTAGCAGAAATTTACTTGTTACGATTTCTTGGGGTCAGGACGACTTTTGTGCCTGGTGAGCTTATGTGTTTTCTTATCAGGCCGGGGCGAACAGTTATGTCCTTTGAGCCTTTACATTTATATCTCATTATCTGATAGAAACTTTTACCGTAAGGTATTTATTTTCTTTGAGGGCAGACATAGGAAAGCAAATAAAAGCCTTTTTCGCTACCAATAACTAATTCTTTAAACTAGTGCACAAACTGTGCGGTAGGGTGTTCAGTTGTTGTGGAGTCCATTCACTGAGAAACGTGCGATAGACTTAATAGACTACAAATTAAAAACGTTACAACAATTTAAAAATGTTTTTCAAAAGCCAGACTCAGGTTCGAAAAGCCGACAAGTCTGTCGTTAGGAGAAAGGAGAACTGTTTCATATTTTGGACACTTTTTCAGCGAGGATAAAAAGAGTAAACAAAAGCATCAAACTTCATTCAAGCGGTATTCATTCATGGGAAAAGAGTAGCGCAATGCAAAATTCTTAAATGGCAAGTAATGAATCGAAGAAGAAAATGAATAACAATTTAATTGAACATGTACTGAACAACAACACTTCAGTTTCATTCAAGAAAAGCGAGTAGTCCAACTCAACTGTTTCTAAAAATCTCACGATCCGCCATCTCAAGATCGTGTTTTGAGCCAATGTTATGAATGAACAATAGACAAATATTCAATATTTATTGAAAAAGCCGTAAGTTAATCAGCTTAAGGTAAACTCATCCAACCATTTTGTTGAAAATGTATGTACTTCGCTAAGGTGTCAAATCCGTTTCTTCCCCTACCACCTAAACACCACCAAACATATGCTCACTAGAGAGATAGCTTATGAAGTGTTATTCCTTGAAAAAATAATCAGAAAGTGTCGATGTTTTTAAAAAACATAGTCGTTGAGATATATAACCCTTCTTCAGTGTAAGGAAAACCGTCGACTCTGATTGGTCAATCATTTCTTAAGTTTTTTGAAACAATAGGGGATAAAACTATCTAGGAAAGAGGGGCGGAATTCGTGTCTACTTAGACCAACCCTGATAGAACTTAAGGACGTACGTAAGTACGCAAGGTGACGTCATAACCCAATTTTCTGGCGACGATGGGCTCCCAATTTCTTTTAGCCATTGAAGTTCCGCTATAAATATTACAGACATTAGGATAACTAAAACTTGTTTACAATAGAAGTGAAAGGAAATTCTTTTAGTTTGATGTGGTGTCGGTAATGAGATTTGAAAAGTGGCGAAGATTTACCAAAGAAACAACTGAAATATGTTAGGGGAAGATTGTCTTAAAGTAATGAATGCATGAAGGCCGTCCTTAGTAAAAATAAGAATAGCAAAGACTAGGTATGGGTCGAATTATTTTGCTTGTCTCTAAGAAATGATTTCATAAAACGTCTCCTGTAGGAAAGCTAGCTAGTTCCCTCAGTAAAAATTTTAATTTTTTTTAAGTGCGATCAAGTGAAGCGGTTATTTTAACATTCTCCATTGTCACCGAGATCATAATGCACCTTGTTGTCTTGGATTTCTCTTGGCACAACTGTAATACTCAAGAGAAATTGACGACAATGGTTATGTAGAATTTCTGGGGTGGAGGTAAACAAGGTACCCTAAGGTTTCGGTGAAGATGGTCAATGTGTGCGAGAATTAGTGGATATAATCTTTTCCTTAATTAACTTCATATATTGATGGTCTTTTTTGGTTTGTTTGTTCGTTTTGTTTTGTTTTGTTTTCTTCTTTCATTCAGGAAGTTCTCAAGTTCTGTACAAGGAAACCTGAGTCGGGGTGAAGGTGATCTTTCTGACTTAGTGGCTATCAACATCAGAAGAGCACATGACCGTGGATTGCCTGGCTACACCCGCTTTCGCAACCTTCCAAGATGCCGATTGCGAAAAGTTAGAACGTTCGAAGACTTGGTAACAGTTGCCTCCTTTGACCCAACGGACGTGGAAAAATTGAAAGAAGTTTACGAAGATGTTCGAGATATCGACCTGTTTGTTGGAGGTGAGTTTCGATTCTCAGCTGTAGTAATACATGTCGTAATCGGTTTTAGCTTTTAATTCATTGCTTTAAATGCTCTCAATTGTCATTCAGCGGGTTTCACCCGCAACTTCCCAGTATTCAGTTAAAACTATGTTATGCTTTATTGAACCCTGAAAGTAGACAAATAAAATTAAATTAATCCAACCCCCTTTTATTAGATATTGGGATACTGCACGTTTTTTATGCACACATGCATTCGTAGCATGCGAAAAGACAGGTCCAACTGACAAATATTCCGGATATAAGCCCGGTCAGGATTTCCAATGATAAATTAAAATGCTTTTTGTTTTTCTCGCAGATTACTCCACTTGGTCCGGGATGCTGACGAAAATCGCGATAAGGCACATACTGAGTTTTAAACGACGCCGTGACTTTACGACTAAGACCCTGTTTACATGGAGTGGGGGACCCCGGTCTAATGGGGTTGGTTTCTTTTGTTTTCACGCTCTTGGGAACACAAAACAAAAGAAACCTACCCCACTAGACCGGGGTCCCCCACTCCATGTAAACAGGGTCTAAGACAACAGGCTGAATTAACTAGCTCGACTACACATTAGTAGAATTTGCCTTTTATTAGATACTATTAGTTTACAAATCTGACGAAGCCAGTCTGTATTTTTCATCTACAAGTTTTGACATCCTCAGATTTCCAGACTGATCCACTTTCAAAAGCGTTTTCAAATCGATGCGTTTTCGATCAAAACGCGTATTAGTGCGGGACGGTATACTTTTTCAAACGAAAACACATTAGTACAGTGTGGACAGGGCCTAAGTTTAAAAATAAAGTAATGTAACATCACTTTTGAAGAAGAATATTGTTGTGTAAGGTAACACAGGCGACACAATGGCTGTAGGCACCTCATAACCATTTTTCTGTATTGCACTAATGGTTTCATTTTTTTACGATATATTTCGTATCACTTAGTCGGCCAGGGAAGTACCAGTATAGCTAATCACCAAACAGTTTTTCCGAGTTATCCTCAATATACTGAAGAATATGAAAAATGGTTTTTTTGGGGGGGGGCTCCTGGGGGCGTAAAGCGCAAGCGTAAGAGTCTCGCGTACGCTTAACATTTTTTTTCAACCTCGATCGCTCGGCCAGACTTTTCGTTTGACCGCTTGCGCTTTCTTGAACTACGCAAAAATGGGGGCTGTTTTGCAGTATGAACTTAAAATCAATAGGCCTCTTGATCTCAACCATGTAACCATGAGTATGTGTTATTACTTGTATGCTTAAAATAAAGACTGCCAGGTCCCAGTCAAAGAAACACTTTCCGTGTAAAGAAAAATTAAAGTGCTATTGTTTCTCGCAATACAAGTTTCGTCTTCATTCTACAGAAGCGTTGCAAAGTTATCAGTCTGAGTAACAATGCGGCGTATAATATACACTTAATGTAAGATCCCGAGGGAACAGTTAGTTTTGTTTTCCCGAAAGTCCTGATGTTTCCCGAGACGAGTCAAGGGAAACATCAGGACTCGAGGGAAAACAAAACTAACTGCTTTCCCGAGGGAACTGACGTTAAGTGTTTTCAAGAGCCATAATAGGACCTGTCCTATTATGGCTCTTGGTGTTTTGTTATATTTCTAGATTTTCACTTCAACAGCCACCTAGGAATAACCGAAGCGTACCAAAAAAGTCGACTCGGTACTTATAACAACACAAATTTAATTGTCTAAACCACTGAATAAATGATTTACAAATTTCGTAGTGAAAGTACTTTCCTTATATTATCTGCATCTTTTTCCTCCACTAGCTGCTGTTTTCCTTCTGGGGACTTCTGGGATAAATGGAAAAATCGTTGCTTTTTAACTTGAGGCTTCGTGTTTGGGTCGTTGTGTTCATTCTAACCTGAGATCAGGCGTTATTTTATTTTTTTGTTTGCTTCTTTGCTTCTTTGGCTCGAGAGGAGAGACATAAAGAGACATAAAGGGATAATAGGGACAGGGCATGATCTCAGGATATGTTCATTCCCGAAAAAAAAACTGGCAGGATCTGGCAGTATTTTTCCCGCCGCTTTCCACCATGCTTTGATCACGTGCTGTAATGTAGCCCGAGCGGGGTACATTGCTTAATGTATCACGATCGGGATACATTTGATTTTAGTCAAGGCCACGTGACCAAGAATCAACCAATGGCAGTCCCTGTTTAGCTGAGTGAAAGTCTAGGAATATAACAATAGTTATGTTCATAGAGTCAGAGATCAGACGGCTTTCTTTTCCCTTATTAGTATTAAGTATGGAACAATTCTCCCTTCCTGGGTAATAACTACAGTTGACCCTTCCACAACGGCCACCTTGGGGACAGAAGAAATTGGCCGTTTTAGAGTGGCCGTTAGAGGAGATTCGACTGCAGTTGCAAAAAAGGCCATTGAGGGGAAAAGGAAGGACAACAAAACTATTTCACTTTCAAATTTTCTTTTTACCAAATGCTTGATTCAGACAGACAGAATAGATATTAGAGCCAGCGCTGCATGGAATTATGACATTCCAAGCTGGGATTTCGCGATTTCCTTATGGGCTGGTGATGATCACAATATTACACGTTGCGTGAACCTCCAGTAAGCGGCCACTCGATCGGCTAATTGTCAAGCTGCGCGGTCGCTTTTGAAAGTCTTTCTTGGTGCCGAGGGGCAAATAACACGGGTCGATCTTTTGACTCTCACACACAGTTATTAAGGCAAAATTCATGCCCGGCGTGGAGAGCACTTTCTGGAAAGATGCGGGAATATGTAGTGAAATCGCACGCCTCAATACTCTGATCTGATTAGTACGGCTCAATATAAATAGATATGGGTATTTCCTGTTTTTCGCATAACCAAGATTGCGCAAAATTCTATTTAGGCTGCAAGGTTCAGAAGGCTTCCGGCGCATAAGGCCATGCTAATGCCATTGCAGTCAACAAGAATGGTAGCAACTTTAATGTTCAAAATCTTCATTATCGGTATCTTCGTCAAAGTGAAGATAAATACTATTTGTCATGAATAAGATTCTGAGCTCTAAGGTCCTCAGATAGAGCGCTGTGAAACTGGAGAATCATCAAATACTTGCAATGCGCATGTTTTTCCTATCGAAATCATATTATTATTATTATTATTATTAATTATCTGAAACTATAGGAACTCCTATCTATCCGTTGCTGACAGAGACACGTTTTACCATATAGACGATCGATCTTAGTTTTAGCTTAGTTAAAGAATTTCCACATGAATCATGGCCGAGTCATCAAGACCGGCCAGTGATCATGAGTGATTGATGAATTTGGGAGTTACTTACGAAAGCGATGATCGGAACAAATGTCTTCATTATCTAATTGATAAAAACAAGAAAGGTACATAACTAAGTTGATGACTGAAATTCCCTTGGTTAGTGCATAGTGAACGTTACTAAGGTATTATCTCGAACAGCTACTGGCTGTTTTTTTGTGTGTGTATGAATTCAGCGTATCCTGAGGCGCTAAAACTAGCATAGCAAGTTTAGTTACATTTAAGAGACGCCACGCCAGAGTCCGGAAGAACTTCTAATGAAATCGGGGTCGATTTACGCTGATGATTGATTGTTTATCTGTGTTTATTAATATAAGATCTTCTTTTCTCATTCCGGAAAAGTATAAATATCATTAGTCATAACTGGATAACTTTGGATTAGCACATCCTTGAATAGAGTGTATAAACACTGATTACAATCATCTCATATAATTATAGTTTAGTTGCTCATTGTCCATGCAGGCTTCCCACTGCACAGGATAGTGATTATGAACCGAGCTAATTCACCTTTTTGTATGACTGGGACCCCGGGGGATAGTCCAGGGAATTCTTGGTGGGGGTACTGTGCCGCCCGGTTCTCCAAATCCAGACCCTATTTCAGACCAAAGTGTCATTTTCCACACCCGTTTTCAGATAAGACCTCTTAGAATAATGCCCATTTTCAGACCTGGCCTCTATGCAGAAATTATGTCATCCTTACTTAGATTAGAGCGCAAACAAAAAATTCTTTAAATGTATTTCGAATTGGCATATTTCTATTTCGTTCTTATTCATTTGGAATTCAAACGATAAATACGTTCAATTATGCTCCCGTTGTTTCCTTGAAAACCGTACCTAATTCCAGACCAAATTGGGCAAAGTGTATACCCGTTTTCAGACCAAAAACCAGGAGCACTCAACGAGAATATAGTTTAACACCACTTAAACATTGTTAAACGTATCAAGTTAGTAGTTAAACGGTAGATATAGGCATATTTTTATCCCCTAAGAATTTTTTATCTGTTCGGACGTCCTAGCTAAAAGTCTAGTGATCCAAAAATTACAGGGATCAAACCTTATACCTTTTTGAAAATTTCAGCTAGAAAAAAGGCTCCCGAAAATTCTAGGTGACCTTTTAAGGGTGAAAATCCTTCAAAAATGGGCAATTGCACCATTTTTTTTAGATGTTCAAAAATCCTAGGAGAGGCAGGCCAGCAAGAAATTTTACAACAAATGTTCCGAAAATTCTAGATCTCAATTCGTCCTCCGAACAGATATTTTCCAAAAATTGACGTTGGGTGCCTCTGAAAAAGGCCTAAAAACCCTACCCCTTGGGGCGGAACATACCTGAATGGCTAATATAAGGGAGTAGCACCGCCCTCCCCCGTTGGGACTGGGACCTGCTGGTTTTTGATTTTCTGAGGGAAATCATTTTTTACTTTCGAGAAAGTCGTCAGTGATAACCATGATCAGCTGATGCGCACAGGTTGAAAGACGCGCAAAAAAAACACTTGTATGGGAAGTACTATTGCGCTAATTAAGATTTCCCATATCCGCATGAACTAGACTAACCTGGGATCAAGCGGTCCTACTTCCCTTTAGAACTGGACCGATTTACTGAACTTGTGCCAAAACGTCTATCTGCTACTCATTCATAATAAAGATGTTGATTTATGATTGTTTCAAATCATTTGTTTTAGGAGTTTTGATCAGTACGTTGTCTGTAATCATGGGTTGTACCCCCGGGGGGTACTCAACACCTTTTTATACAGGGAGGTTCCGCCTAGAGGTCCAACCCCTTACCCTTTTATAAATATATACCATTTTTCAGACAAAAATGTACCCCTTTCGTATACCCGTTTTGAACTTTACATCCCTTTTATTAACCGCTGTAACTAACTCGCTGTCTTCTAAATATGAATAAATCACAAAACCAGAACGTTTTCTCGAATTGGTAACAGCCATAAAATGCATCTGCCACCCTCATTCCGGAATTTTTACAAACCGAATTGACAGATTTCCCTTCCCTCATGGCATTAGACTGCGAGCAGTCTCTTATTTTTCTTTGCAAAGTTACCGGACACGCAATACCCAGACCAACCCGGTCTGCGCAAAACCTAAGCACGCGAGCGGCCGTCTCTACTCGCTCCTCATCCCTGTAAAAGGTACCTCTTACGGGCGGAGCCTCCCCTTACAGGCCATCACAGGGAGTACCCCCGGCGCCCGGGGTTGCGGGTCTGAAATTGTTCTCAGTAGGTTTCCTTTTAGAGTAAACAAATGTGATCCACTGAATCACAGCTATGGGAAACTGAAAACAGGAAATACACAAATGCAAACAACGTTTAATTTGCTGAATCGAATGGAAATTTGGTTGATGAAATTTACTTCTATTAAGAGCCAAAATGCTCTTGCTTCTATTCACTAATCTACCGGAGTCATTCGATGGATACGAACTGATCGAAGGACATGTTGCCAATGAAAGAATAGAAAAATGTACGGTGACCAGATCAAAAAAGGAATGATATTTCCTTACTGCAAAGGACTGCTTTTAACGCACGCTATAAAACAACCAACCAATTTTGCGCCCATCCTAAAGCGATTATGACAAGATAAGTGATCGAAACTCTGCGGTATAGGTATACCGAGGTCAAGGTTTGTATTAAGCATTTAAAGACAAAGTACCGTTTATTTATATTCCCAAAGGCTAAGATTCCAAGCCACATGGGCCATGAAAAGTAAACAATGGTTTGCAACCTTTTTCGTAAGTCGTAGCGCACTATACTCGTAATGTTGAGATTTTCACCGGAAAGTTTCTTCTATTTATGGGGATCTTAAAGTCAAGTGAGTTGACAGCCAGCCATCTCGACACGAGGTCAGGTTTTTATTTATAAACAGCGTATCACATGAAATTCTTCGGGTGAAAATTATTCGAACACCCCTGCTTGTTAATTTTCACACCTTTCTATCTAAGACTTGGGTAACTGAGTTGTATAAAACAAATCGAAACTAAAACAAGGCATTTAGACGCAATAACCTGCCACTAAAATGCTCACAAATTTTGTCACAGTGATTGTTTCACTTTGGGAAAACAATATCGCTATTAAAACCTTTACATTAAATAAAATGTTAACATTCCTAAATAAACGGGGAAACAACAAGCTTCAAGTATTTAATAAATTGGAGGGCATGCACCCTGAAAGCCTCCCGGCCAAACGTTTGGGGCGCTGCCTTCACAGAGCTGGAAACCTTCCCAGGTACTTCCTGCGTGATTGTTCCCGAAGATCGCGGAACTCGATCGGCATTTTGATCTCAGCTCAGCGAATTCAGTGAATTCTTCCTCCATCTCACCATCTTTACTGTTGTTAGTTGCTGTAACAGTTATCAAAGGCGACGGAGTAAGATTGGGCGTCCTGGTTTTTCCAATTTGAGTAGGATCCGACGCGCTCCTTGTATGCTTACGACAGTCAGTGATCAGGACAGTTTCGTTTTTAACGGCCAATTTACGTAACGTGGTTGGGATACTTTCTTTGTTGGACGGACCATTACCGCTCGGAACCTGCAAAGAAGATTCCTTACCATCGTCAAACCCAGCGTCGGCCATTCGGTTGAGAAAATTGCTTTTCTGTTCATCACTATTGGGTGAGCGGTCACCGGTTGTTCCCTTCCCGTTCGGCGCACAGCGGGCAAGAGATGCTTGGTAGCATTCGTAGTTGATAATAAACGCCAGTGAGAGCGCCTTGAAAGCTTCTCTGGCTTTGGTTTTACTTTCGCAGGTAAAGACAAATGCTTTGAAGGGATTCTCGGGTTTGTCACGCGCAACAAAGACGAAGGCCTTCTCGTAGAACTTGTCGAGGTTACAGAATGTAATCTTCGAGATAGGAAAACTGGCGATTAGTTTACCACAAGCTTCGTCAGTGACGCTTAGGTTCTTTGAGCACAGTGTCAAAATCAGTTTCTTATGCGTTTTTCCATTTTCTTTTCTTCTCTGCTGGTCAAACACGTGGGCGACGGGTTTTTCAGTTTTTCCGCTACCTGTCCCGTTTGCGGAGGCCACTTCTGTAGATCCAATGTAACGGACAATAAATTGGACCCCAGCTATTATGCGGTCCTTTTCGTCCGCTTCGCTGCCTGTGATTTGTTGGTGTCCTTTTCGAGCAAAATTTGGACTTGTCTTGAACATATTTTTGCCTCTTGTATGTAGCTTTACTTAGGGCAAGGTGACTAAACACTCTGCATACCACTAGATAAGTGAGACTTGATGCATTTCAGTTGTTCTTTTATATAGACGCTCAAGAATTTTGTTTTGCTTTTGACGTCATGAATGCGCCGCTCTGCCAATCAGGTAAGTGTATACTGATAAATGTTGATGACATTGTACGTCTTTCGACTCTGCGGATCGATAAAATTGGAAACCGAAAACAACAAATAAGTTTAGAAAATTGATTTCCACCCGATTATTTCTTTCAGTCTTATTTTCGCAGTTTAAGTGTGAGTAACTCTCTATCAGTCTGAAAACGGAGACCACAAAATGTCGCCATATTATACATTCCGTTGTCAGCGATCGATCATGCCACTGGTCATGGCATACGAGTCATGACTACTTAATATGACGTACGCACGTATACAATTTGTAAAACACATAAAACGGCAAATTTATCCTTCTGAAGGCAAGTCGATGAACGAGTGAACAAAAGAATATTAAAAAATCTGTATATTTAAACAAATTTGCCCAACATTTCGGTTTGAAGATATTAAACGTATATATTTTTTTTATTGTTCACTTTTTCAGTCGCCTAGCTTGCCGTAAGGATCAGTTCGCCGTTTTACTGATTTTATACAAGTTGTTATTGTACTGATCCAGGTCTACAACTGTGATTTCGGCACCACTCGAAGGTTTGTCGCAGCGGACTTGCTATTATTTAATATTTACGTATACGATGCAGTTCTCACGGCAAGCAGAACCACGCCTAAAGTAGACTGAGAACGCAACAATCTACAGGGTCAAAAACCGATTTCTAAGAAGAAAAGATATAGAGGCAGGTAAAGATAAAGAAAGAGCCGCAGGAAGTTACCGTCCAGCAGATAACTAACTACAATTATATGTAAGAACAACTGGCTAGACAGCAAACGATGAAAAAGACTTAACAAAAGAGTGCTCAAAAACCGAAAGGAAATCATCTTACAATACACCCCGGTATATTACGTAGAAAATTCGTCTGCAAAGAGCTCTTTTCTGTCTGATGACGTGATCGACGGGTTTTCTGGTTTTGGAATCGCAGTTAGATCCCTTCGAGTCAGAGATGACAAACCGGTAAACCGGTAAACCGATTAGAGCAGAGTTGCATGTAACGTTACGAATTTACTTATTTTATTGCTTTTAAATACTATAAGATCTTAATGACCGTAATTGATTTATTTAACATCTATTTATAACAATTTTATTGCTTCTGTTGCTTTGCAATCTGCTTTTGAATATTTGATTTATTTACTGTGGAACAGGTCTTCAACAAAACTGGCCAGCTCTACTTATGAGCCGGTTTGCTTGTTTCTTGGTTCAGTTTTTAAGAAGGGCCTTGGTCATCCCACAGGCTGAAGTAAGCCGCGTGAGGAGAAAAAGCCACTTTACATTATGTCATCTTTTATTCTGATGAAGGTGTAGTCATGTTACGTCACTCGATGACGGCAATACTGACACTTTATAATCGCGTTAAGTAGCGCGCAATAGCCTGCGTGGGCCCGAAATCTCTTTTCCCTTTCCCTTCGAAAGCTGCCTGCCACGCAGGCTAAGCGCGCAAGGGTCAATACAGCGAAATAGAGCATACAGCTGAGGTCTCTAAGTGTACAGCACGTAGTGAGTAGGTGATGTATCCTGATAAAATACTTTGCTACACGAAAGCCTAGCCTGCGTAGCAAGCGTTTTCCGTGCGGTTTAGGAGCAAAGAACGAGGAACGAGTGTCAAACACCGCGCGAAAAATGGCGTAAGTAAAAGAGTAGGGAGGGGGTGGGGAAGAAAGGAAGCTCTTGCTTCTTGTTTCATTTCTCGCGCGGCCAAAACCGAGAATCCCGTTCCTTGGTCTTTCTTTGCTCCGAAACCAAACGGAAACGCTTGCTACGCAGGCTAGAAAACCGTGCGATTCGAAATACCACTGAAAAATACTGAGATAAGAGAGAAATAGGGAACTTGCAATTTACGCTCAACCAGTTTACGAGTCTGTCCGATAGGATAAGGCTGAAAGCAAGATAGGCCGAAAAGTTTTAGAGCTGCGTAATGGCATTTTATGAGACAAAACGCCCGAAAATGCCATCCTTTGGGAGGTGTGGACTTTCCAAGGGTCACGTCACGTCTACCAAGCAGAAGCCTTATAATGTACCAAAATATTCCCTCATACACTATGGTCTTTCCATGAGTAACGTTAAATTCAATTCTGGGTACTCCGCATTGCTAAAAAGAGGACACAAGGTACACGGAACAAGGCATACCTGTGAAGGAATGCCGGCAGGATCATCAGATTACCGGAACTGCGGACAACCGAAACCTTAGAAGACCAGAATTATATAGGAAACATAAACACCAGACCAGACCACCCGAACACCGGAACTGTGGAACATGAAACCCCACCGTCGTTTCTATGGCTTCCGCTGCGGAACACCAAACTACCAGACTGTTTACAAAAACTTTTAATAGATGCTTACTTATGCACGAGAGGTCGTGTTCAATTTTCATTGTTTTTGTTTTTGTTTTTTTTTTCAAGATGAAAAATGATAAAAGAATTCCGCATGGTTCATTTTCCAGACAAAGCTGAATTTAAGCTGTTTAAGGGTAGCAATAGGGCAAAGGGTTGATTTATTTGAAGCCAATATCTCCGCCCGGGATCTCCGCTAACAAAATTGGCCTTCCTCCTGGCCAGAGCTACACTGAAAGAGAATACTATAAACAGTGATACCTAAACGGTAAAACTGAGAATAATTTTAAATAGCATGATAGATAGGTAAATAATTATACCGTGAATAAAGTAATTGATAAGGTACAGTTCAACGTTCGTCCATGCGGCTTAAACCATCTTCTGAAAGAGTTTTCCCTCTATTGATGAGGTAAGCTTCTCTTGCTTTATAGACTGTTGACAGGTCCCCTACTTTTCTGTAAGATCGTCGAGATCGAGCCCTTTCCGTTACGGGTAGCCATCTTGGATGAGTTCAAAACTACTTAATATTGGGCTGGGGGGCGGTTTGGGGGGAAGCCAGAAAAATAGAGGGACTGTCCTAAATCACTGCAGCTCGCCTTCACGGATCGCGTTATACCAGCAACGCAGGCGTTTGATTAATTGTTAATTTGTGCTGACAAAGGGTTTAGTTTTACTTTAATGAAGTTGCCGACCGTCTGACAAGTCGTTGACAAGTCGTCGTTTCTACAAAACGTACGCTTTCGTAATACTTGTTCTCCCAACTACGACTTCCCCTAGGATGACCAAACATGTACAAATTTTATAGCGCCACTTAGAATTTATTTCTACGCGGCTACCTTGACACTGAACAAAAAATAGAATTTTTTTTTTAACTTTATTGTTTTGTACTAAAGCCGACTTCCGTTCAGCAAATAAAACCTCCAAGGTAATTTTTTTTCAATGAGATTGTGAGCGCAGCCTCTAGTACGAAGCCAGTGAGTTAACTGAGTAGTTTTTTCTAAAACTGTAAGGTTTTCACCTTTCATGAAACCTTTCTGATCTTTTCTGAAGCTAAGTCAAGCGCGAAATTTCTCAAGGTCCAAAGTGCACTTCTCAGATCTGGAAGTCTGCTGTGATTGGTCTACGTTTTTTTCTGCTCAAATCAGCAGACGTTAGTGGGGCAGGAACGCATGACGAACCCCTAAGAACGTCTACGTGGGAGGCTAGCCCAGGGTTGGGGGAATTCGGCCAATTCCTGGGTATAGGTTAGCCGCTGAGAGTTTGAATTAGGACAAAAAAATCCTAACATACGTACCCTGTCTCGGACAACACCCTTACTTAGCACGCCTTCTTGTTTAATGGCCATTTGTTGGCAATTGCAATAGAGCAAATTCACCTTACAGTCATTGCGTTTCTGTACAAATTTCATCTAACAAATGAATTCGATCTTGCAGACAATACTCTGTTTATAATAAGGACAGACTCGCACAAAATTATTTACCCTGTCAGGAGCGCATAACCATAGAAAGAGAGGACCCACCCGGTCCGGCACATCGCCATATTGGCCCCCGGGGTAACTGGAGGTATTGTTTTGTGCGGGTGCTTTGCTACAATACTGGCTGCAAAACAGTCCGGTACTTTTGCGTATTCAAGTACGCGCGAACAGCCAAACAAAGGGTCTGGAGCGAAGCTGAAAACGGACAATAGGGCGTGTGGGCCTCGGGCGCTTCGCGCGCGTTAGGTTTTGTCGCTACTCTTACGCTACACTAAACCGATTTTGAGAAAAAAAAAATAACGACTGTTTTGCAGTCTATTGCTACAAACCACTGGCCGAAATTCACCGACTGTTTCACTTGCACGCTTTCTCTGTTTTTTCTTTTCTTTTTCTTGTACTTGAAACAGGTAAAACAGAATTACTTATAAGAAGGACTTTAGACCAAAAAAGGAGTAATAAAATACTGAGATGGTTTTGAATTGGGCGGGGACGAAACTTTACGAACACAGGAATATTGGGCACGAACTCCCCATACGAGACATACCTTTCTTCTCCGTTTATAGGAAGATCATAGCGGTTCTGATCTGTTTTCTTTTTAACCTCTGACTCCCACTATCCGTCATATATGTTAAGTTTGTAAAACCTGGGTGCATTTGACTCCTCACCACCACATCACATGACCGGGTTCTCGCCAGATTTAATCCCAATTGTTTTTAATAGCCAATCGGAGATCTCCTTGTAAAAAGCTGCGTGTTATAAGAAAGATGGCTAAAGATTTCGTTTGATTTGGTAAGTATCGTAGTTCGGAGGTTTTAAGCTTAAAATTAGAATTATATATAACGAAAACAGTAGGGAAGCTGGCAAACCGGATTTGTATTTCTTATTATTTTCCACCAACCTGCACCGATGGTTGTTGACAGACATCCTGCACAACACCCACAACCAGAACAACGTCCACAACCAGCAATGCTAGTGCAACTGCCATAACCAGCACAACTTCCACAACCCCTAGAACAACGTCCACAACCAGCAATACTAGCGCAGCTGCCATAACCAGCACAACTTCCACAACCGGAAGAACGTCCACAACCAGTACAACTTTTGAAACTAGCACAATTCCCACAAACAGCTCAACTCTCACAACCAGCACAGCTTTCATAACCAGCACATCTTCTACAACCATCACAAGTCCCATAACAGCACAAATCCCACAACCATCGCCACTCACACAACCAGCACAACCAGCAGTCAACTAGCTCTACTCAACAACTAGCACAACCACAATCAGGACAACTCCCAGTAGAGCTGGAACGCAACAAAGCCTACTGATTTTAGACATTTCCTTTGATGTTGCAAAGTGAAGTAAATGGTGAAATTACAACAAGACTGGCCTTGAAAGTCATCTCTTTCACGATTCCAGTCAACAACCATCGGTGCAGCCTGGAAATTAACCCACAATGCAAATCCTGAAACGTCTGGTAATCAAGCCTACACAACTACCAGAGTCAGGAAAATTACGAACCTAAGCAAGACTCCCACAACCAATACAACCCCCTAAACCATAACAGCGATCAGCCCAACTCTGACAACCAGCAAAGCTTTCATCAAACCCACAACCTGCCCAATTCGCACAACTTCCACAATCCGCACTACTACTGCTACTACTACTCCTTAAACTAGCACAACTACCACATTGAGCCCCACCTGCAGAACCTTTACAACCAGCAAACCTTCAACGGTCAGAAAAACTTCAAACATCAGCACAACTTCTACTACCAGCGAAACTTTAATAACCAACCGATCTTCACATCTAGCCAAACTCCCACAACCAGAACACCTTCCACAACTAGCACAATTCCCTTAACCAGTACAACAACTAGTACAACCAGTACAACTGTAACATCCATTACAACTTCCAGAAAAAGCACAATGTCCCCAACCAATTACAACCAATGCAACTCCCATAACCAGCACGTGCCGGTGGGAGTTGTGTTAGTTGTGGAAAATGTACTGGCTGTGAAAGAGGTGCTAGTTGTGGAAGATGTGATAGATGGGAGATTTGTGCTTTTTGTAGAAGTTTCTCCTGCTTGCGGGTGTTGTGCTGTTTGGGGGAGTGCTTCAGCGTGTGGAAATTGTGCTGGTGGTGGACGTTCTGCTGGTTTTGGGAGTTTTCCTGATTGTGACAGTTGTCCTCGTTGTGCTGGCTGTGCTGTGATGATGATTTTGCCTTTTGTAGGAATCGGGCTGGTTGTTGGAATTTTGCTGGTTTAAAAGTTGTGCTGATTAGGCTCGGTAGATGTAGAAGTTGTTCTTGTTGAGGGTTTTTGCTGAGTATAGTAGTTGTGCTGGTTGTCCAAGTTGTGCTAGTTGTTGGAGTTTTGCTGGTTCTGACAGTTTTTGCTGTGCTGGTGCTGGTTATTGTGGGAGCTGTGCTGTTTGTAGTTGGTCGTTGAAGTTGTGCTCGCTGTGGCAGTTGTACCAGTTGGTGGAAGATGTGCTAGTAGTGAGAAATGTGCGGGTTGTGGGAGTTGCGCTGGTTTTGAAAGTTGCGCTAGTTTTGGAAGTGGTACAGGTTGTGACAGTTTTGCTGGTTGTAGGAGTTGCGCTGGTTGATGGAGTTCACTGTTAAAGTTGTACTGGTTGTGGCAGTTGTGCTGGTTGTGACAATTGCACTGGTTGTGACAGCTGGGCTGGTTGTGACAGTTGCGCTAGTTGTGACAGTTGTGCTGGTTGTAGGAATGGTCGTGGTTGTAACAGTTGTTCTTATTTTGACAGTTGTGTTGGTTCTAGGAGTTACGCTGGTTGGGGGAGTTAAGCTGATTTTGGGAGTTGTGCTTATGGTGGAATGGATTAACGGATTATTGATGTTTATGACTGTTACGCTGGTTTTATGACTTGTGATGAGTGGTAGTGGTGGGGTGGGGGGGGAGTATGCTAGTTGTGAGAGCTTTACTGGTTTTGGAGTTTTTTTGGTGTTGGTAGTTTTGCTAGTTTTGACAGTTGTTTTGGTTGTCCAACCCTTAAAGATAGGTGCCACATTTGCACTTTTATGCTCAAACTTATGCCGGTATAATGTGAAGCCTTGTGAGCGCCACTAGTAACGCTTGTTACGCAGGCTACTAGTTTTAGGTTAGCCCTCCTAGCCTCCCAAAACCCGCAGTAAACTACCTCATTCCCGGACTCGAAGGCGGTGGTTGTGACAGTTGTTCTTATTTTGGTCTTATTATCGGTCTTCTTTTGAATTTTCATTTTAACCTCGCGAAAGGGATAATGCTGATTCAGATCTAACTTATAATTATCAGATTTATCTGGACGAGAAATATTGTAGCCTCGCGAACCTGTAATTTCACGCTAAGGTGGAAATTGGGGGTTGGAAAAGATCACTGTGATCCTCAAAGTGGATCTAAAATAGTTCGAATGCATCGCAACAACAAAATGTAGGTTCAATTTTATCATCCGTTACTTTATCACGTTTGGTCTCTCATTAGCAGGTATGGTTTTCATAGGACCGTTGCGATCATGGGTGATATAAAGAAAGGTTCAGCAATGGTAGCCATTCACAACGTAACAACTCTTTCATGACAGCTTCGCTGGATAACGATCGCTTGTTGTTTTAAGGCTGGTTTCCAAATTCAGTGGACCTGGATTGTCTCTTAGCGGGAACACAAATACGGCACTGTCCTTCACGCCCCCTTTACAACAGGTTCAGGTGTTTTATATATAAGTAACCTGACCCATCTCATCCAACAGCCCTACTGTAATCAGAGTGCTGAACATAGAAAGCCCAGGAAAAAAACCCCAAATCCACAGCCTTCAAATACTCAAAGATGTGAAATCCATAAATTACACTCTACTTCTGAAAAAACTTCGGACATCCTCGTGACTTTCTTTACCACTTGGCAAGCACAGTTCTTATTTTATAAAATGGAAAAACAAACGCTAATCATGAACATAGGAAAACCACCACGACCGGCAACCAGCACGGACACCACCAACAGAGTAAAAACCGTACACGAGATCTTAAAGAAATGGCTTAAAACAGCAAACGGAAAGTCTTATCAAAGCCTCCCCTGTAAATTATGAAAGAAGAAGGACAATCAAAATAGAGAGGCAACCAATTTTAAAGAAAAATATATCAATATTTATTTGACTTTCATAAATCTGTAAAATTTGCCCACTATTATTATATCTGCTAATATTAGAATTGATTTAATAATCAAGCGTAAACGATTCTCCTGTAATAAATATATTATACGAAATATATTATAGAATTTGGTGTAAATTTAATACATTTTAAGGATTTTGTTTTTATAATGACTTTATGGTAATCCTAATTGTTTTTGGTCAATTCAATAGGACAATTGCACGATGACGATATTTGACTACAACTTTCCATTTAAATTTGTCAATCCGCTGAGGATTAAAGAACAAAAATTTGCATCAAGGATTCTTTTGTATATAAAATTGTCAAAAAAATTTGTCACACAATTCTTAATAAATAGAATTCAATCACACAAATAACATAAAATTTTGGAGCACCCCCTCCCACAAAATCTGTAAAATACATCAGAATGTTCTCATCTTAAAATGAGTTTTGTTACTTTCATTATTACATTAATACATAACAGGTGATTATTATATTGTACAACTAATAATATCATTAATAATAATAGGTTATTTTTATATACTAATTACTGTCATCATTAGCTTTTTCTATTCACTTGTTAGTAGAACAAAAAGGGGAATGAAGTATTCAATTTTCATCCTTCTATAAAAAAATAATTTAAAAGCGATAACACTATTGCTTCTTCTGCCACTATCTAACCGTAGTAAGAAGCAGAAGAAAAAAATTATCGGTAGACGTGCCTAAAACGTGTTCAATTCTACAATTGGTTTAGGCTCTATTAAATAGAAAAATATTGTTATTTCATTAAACCCCCCAGGATTCAGAAATAATTTGCTGAACTGGTTGATATTAAACTTAAATCAAACGGTGGAATGTTCTAAATGTTGGTAAACAAAAGGTACGTGTTCCAATAACGTTATTTCACACGTGTACACAATTGTAGACTTGTTATTCCTTCAAGCCTTAAATTTCTCACACATTTAAAAGATACTGGCTGAAAATCCATTCAACAAAAATATTATGGCAGTTTCGTCAGTCCATGTCCACAGTACATGGCTCTTTCGAAACACCATGAAGAAATTCAAACGGATAGATTTTAATTTAAAAACTTTGAACCTAAAGGCTGGTTTACTGCTGTTTAGATGATTTCCATCTCGCTTGCAGGGCACTGATAATACTCCCAGGTAACTGTTGGTGTGCCTCTATCATTTTTTGAATATCCCTTTGAACCTGCAAATCAGTTAAAAATAAGTACTGGCAGACCGACGTTTTCCAGTTAATTTATGGCCGAAGCACAAACTGCAGAAGACAAAAAAAAAAAACAAACAAAACAGGGATTCGTAACTCACAATAAGTACATAGTACGGACCGACAAACTAGTTTCGTGAGATATATATCATATTTATTACAACTTTCAAATTTAGCAGGCTGCACAGTAAGTAGTCAGTACGGCCGGCAAAGTTGACCAATCACTGAGAGGTACAAAATTCACTTATCCAGATAGCACTGATCACTCTCTGTGGGCTGACAAACCATAGCCCCATGTAAAACACCATACATTGTTACACTAAATAGAAATTTTAATTTTCAACAGTACCTTGAATAAAAAATTGACATTTTGAAATAATCACTGTTTTTTGTGGAGGAAAACTGGAGAACCTTAAAAAGGCCCTTGGGGAAGGGGCAATCGAAGCAACAACAAACTGAACCCAAGAAGGAACATGGGATAGAAACCTGCACTTTTGTCAAGGCGAGAGTTAAGCACCAGCATAAAGATGGCCCAACACTAAGGTAACTAATTAAACCCAATCCATATAATTAGATTAGATAACTAAACCATGGGAATCTTCTTAGGAAAGCTCTACAGAGGTTGCTTGAATCTCCTGACATTATAGTATATGGATATGTAGCAGATGATGTAATTAAAACGTAATGAAGGTGAGTGACAAGGAAAAAAAATTGAGGTTCCCAACGTAAATTTTGAAAAATAAATAAATAAAAACGATTTGAAGGTAGCACATCCACAGAGTGGTTCTTGGTCTACCATTCCTGATTGAACTGGATTTTGAGTTGGTTTTTGAAGGGAAAACCGGAGTACCAAGAGGAAAACCTCTCGAAGCAAGGGAGAGAACCAGCAACAAACTCAACTCACATCTGCCGTTGATGCCGGGACATGAACAGAGGCCACATTTGTGGGAGTGGAACGCTCTCAACACCGCGCCACCCTTTCTCCCTAAAGGAAAAACCTATTTAAACTGCTCCATCCCAGCTATCCCTTACAGAAACCTAATATCCCAGTTGGTAAGTTAGTCTGAGAGCTTAATATCTATTACATGTAAAAAAGATGGTCTCTTTCCAGTTGTAAAAGTTTGTAAATCATAACTGGGGAGCTTTAAAACGGGATTTTTTATGTATCTATTCCTACCCCTTCTCCAACTTCCCAATCCCTTGACCATTATCGCAAATTAAGACTATAACCCTCTTCAGGGTTATATGCTTCTGCCGTTATATAACAATAGTATTGAGAGTTACCACAGGTTTTGTTTATCACTCTTATTATTACTCATACAAAGTTCAAAACACTGCTTACTTTTCCAGCTAGCTCATCACATGACAGTTTTGGATCATACAAAATGGGCTCTCCTATAAAAGTCCTAAAAAGATCAATGGCATAAATTGCATTACTTAGGTTGATAGACAAACAAAACAACTTTTGTAACTCCTTCTTTTTCTACAAACTGTTCAGGTATAAAATCTTAAATGCCACTACTTTTGGCTTGACAGCTGAATGTTGCAGGTTTAAGAAATTTGACTGATATCAAGCAACATCATCGAGAAAATTTTAAATTTAAAGGTTTTTGTACATTTTCTAAAAGATCTCAAAATAAGAAGAAATTATCTCTCTGCAGGTGACCACAGCAAGGTACCCTGTTATGTGTTAAGAGTTCCTGCTTAATTACTTAACACATGGGGATTAAGCTAATAACGTCGGAATATTTATGAACAGTTTCTTTGAGGTGTTCATTCTTAGAGCTTACAATGACTCAAGCAGACAAAAAGAGAGGTATTACATTCCACTGGACTGATACAGACTGTATGGGCTTAAATGTGATTTCTGATAACTTTAATTGCCCAGTTCCTCCCCACACTTTTCTTTGAGAGGCATGTACAGGATCATCTACATAAACACAGCAAAACAATAAATTCTACCTTAATTTAACTGGAAATCCTCCATACAGTGGTACTAAAGGTAATTTTGTCCATTCATACAATTTACGAAACCACTCTGCAAACAAGACATATTTTCTAAGTCAAAACATTTACAGGAAGAAAATACCAGCAACTTCAGGCTTTGGTTATTGGGACTGTTAAAGCAAATTAAAAGTTAATGTGTGGTTAATACCATACAGTAAGGGCTCAGTCCCTGCAACAAACTGTTGCAACTCTGAAGTGACTTGTCAAGTTTTGGGCAGCTTAAAAAGTATACACAATCAGCTACATCTTCCGCCTTTTCATGTACATGTCAATTAACCCCACACTAAAGGACTGGATGCATGAAATTTGAGTGTAACTGACCGTCAATCTCAAATTACAGCAACTGTCCCAGTATAGGAGAAAAACTGATGGAAGCCATTTGACTTACTTCTTCCTATTTGAACCGAACGAATTGCTTCTCTGACATTTTGAGTATAAATTGGATAAATGGGCTGAAACAAAGAACATAAAAAGACAAGTTATATAGTTCCTTGTCTACTTGACAGCCATTTCAGGCCATTTTACTCCTGCTTATAAACAAAAGTTTTCAAAATGACAAAAAATTATTAAAGTATGCCTCCTTCCACTAGTTAAATAAGAACCTCCTTTCACCCATTTGAGGAAAACAATTATTAAGCCCAGTTTTAAACCATTTGCAAGGCTGTGCTCTAAGGGAAATTGAAGGGAGCCCAGTGCTCTGAAACTGTAAAATCTAGGGTGCCCAGCATATGATTTGTATGAAAAATCTGAGATTTTCTGGTCGCCCGAGGGCAAAAGTTAGGCGCCAGGGGCCACTGGGCTCTGCTAGAGCACAGCCCTGATTTGCAGATGTCATTACAAAGGCAGCACTTTATTGAAAGACCTCGAGTGTTAGTCTGGCCAGAGTTCGAGCCAGCAGCCTATCCAATTTGTTGAGCTTACCGGGTGGGAGTTAACTTTAATTTAAAAGTTTAATAATATTCATTGCTTTTGAATGCTCTTGACTGGAAAGTTACCACAATACACAAACAATGATTCAGATCTGCATGCACAATGAGATAGCATTTCACATTAAGTAACTGATTTGGTTTTCCTGATATGGTACGGGTGTACTTACAGTACTTGAAAAAACTGCATGCTTCCAGGACACTTTGAAAGTGAATATACAAATTTCAATATAACAATATTAAATTTGCAAGGAAAATCATTGATAGGATCCTATGCTCAATGACACCAATCCTATACTCATTCATTAAGTACTGTTGGTAAATACTTTTGAAGTTACTAACTCACCACTTTGGCTTCAAGTGCAACCTTGGCAAATCCTCGCCTACCATTCCAAATCATTGTGTAATACTCATCAGAAAATAAGGCTTCCCTAACTCCTCCTGGTGAAATGGCCAACAGTTCCCCATTCTGAAAACATCCCTATTTTAGTCTGTGCTGGGAGACATTTTAAAGTTTACATTTTTTGTTTTTTTTGTTTTTTTGAAATAAAAACAGGGTATTGATAAAATTCTCTTCTGGTCAGAAATAAACTGGTCATCATATTGTCCAATGTTGCAGATGTAGTAGAAACATTGTGGCAGTAATGGTTTATGTACAGGCCGGCTAAAGAGTTAGAGTGATGCAGTGGTGAGAGCATTTGGCTCCCTCCACCTCACCCACAATCAACATTCAAAGGCAAGAGAACAATATTGCAGTGCAGTAGTTGTAGCAGTTTGAGTTCCACTTACAAATATGTACTTAATCTATTACAGAAAAACAATGTTTACTCAGCAATTATTGTAAATAATTATGTATTAGTTGACAAGCAAATTTTCTTCTGTATCAGTAGTATAGTAGGGACCAGTTGCTTCCTTCTTATCAGTGGAATGTGCTTATTCCTTTGAAAACATGAATCAACCAATGAATATTACATTGACCTAAAAATAACTAAAAAATTGTCAACTGGTAAATCACCTAAGAATAGCTCATGACCTTGTGAGATTCCTTCACATTTTTATTCATAAGATAAACCCAAAAGGCTATGACATCATCAACATTAATGTATTCCACTGGAAATTGATGAGATTGAATGTAGCACCAAAAAGGAGCAACTGCTGGTCCCTACTATACTATGTGTATAATGGTGATTTAAAATAATACATGTCATGAATGACTGACCTTAAGAATCTGTACACACTGCTCTCTGGAACGTCCTTCAACAGCACCACAAACTTCTAGAAGCAGCTGAATACCTTAACATAAAAAGTACATTGTATTGCAGATTACTGGAAAAGAGAAACAAACTCTACATATTAAATAACTTAATTTTTCAATTGTTAATGATATTAAAATCATGACATGAAAGGAAATAAAAAGACTAGGTCAACAAGGAAAAACATTAAATTACAGCTGCACTGTTGCTCACAATTTGGTCACTTAGTGTTAATTCATGACATTTGGTGATCTATGAGGCATTTGCCTGATAAGAATATATATTAAATTCTTCATTTAGTTGCCAACAGGGCTGCCAGGAGAAAAACCTGTAACACATGTCAAAAGTGAGCAGTCTTTATGTCACAGGTCATGATATCCATTATGCCTACCCCCGCCACAAAAAATGCATACCAGTACTAGTTACTAAAAATACTTGAGCATTAACATGCTGTGCCTGCATAAAAAAGTTTCATGACAAGACTACTGACTAATTTAATTCACATTGGCCAGGTGCATTTATAACTTACACTGTCTAATAATGAAAGAGTTCCAAAGAACAAAGAAACAAAAATAGATGCACTTTTAGGTGTGTTCCTTTCAGAGAAACCTAAAATGGCTCCTCAGTTTTGTACTGTCAAGACGGGCAGTTGAGTTCCTGCAAGGGTTGCTTGCAAATCCAATGAATCCTATTTGGAAAAGGATTCATCAGATAAAAAAGCCAGATATTTTGGATTAATTGCTGACAGGAATGCGAAAATCTGTTTTAAGATTTAAAATCTATTTTTGGATTTACTGAAAGGTTCAAAAAGGTTTTAAGTTGGTGGTAAAAGCTTTAGAGCGGGGGGAGAAGGAAAAAACTCGCACCACAGGTGCAACTTGCGTGCGCTGAAAGCGCAAGTTACTAGGGGGGTCCCCCTGGAAAAAATTTGAAATCTGGGCCTCTTATTAGAGTGCATAATTTTTCCAGCATTATGGTGCAAAAAATTGGAGTGTTTAAACAGAACACAAATATCAATAAATTGTGGCTTTTTGGGGGGTAATTTCCAAAGAAAAGTAGGCAGTGAGTTCATATGAAATAGCCAGCGAATTTCACCGGCCGCTGGCTTTTATTGAGAAACCTGTTATTGTCATTATTGTCATTAATGTCAGACTTAGAAAACATAACAATTAATAAGTTTCTTTTTTCATAACGTAGATCCAAAAAATAATAACTTATTATTGCAGCATTACAAATAACTTTTTCCACTTAAGAAAACAAAATTTATCTTACAGAAATGATATACCAGTCCTGTATTTAATAACAGCAACTGAATAATAATAATAATAATAATAATAATACATTACACTCAGCAAAACATAACATAAGGTATTTATCAAATGATTTGATCTAAAAGGATGGTTTTTTTGAACCCCGCAGGTATGCTGTCTATAGGGATAACTACTTTTGCAGTGTTCTTCAAGCCCTAAATATATATCTTAAAGTTAGAGTTATTAAGTAATAATATTAATCCAAACAAAAGTAACAAATTCTCTATCTAAAAATGTCAAACCTGGTATTTGAAAGAGAAATGTGGCAGCCACATTTCGCACCCTCCTCTTTTTACAAAGTATAAGCCTAGCGAGAATATAGTACATATCCAGTGGTAATGCTCCATGATAATATATCAGTAATGCAGGACCTTCAGCTGGCAGCTTTTCAATTCCAATCAGTTCATAGCCTGACAAAGAATTAATAAAAGAGTTATGAAAGTAGTCCTTTGAGTATTTTGGGATGATGAAACCTATAATCAGATGTAAACCCCTTCAGGGCTGTAACTAATGCCCTGGGATTAGGAACGTCTCCGTGTAAATGTATGAGCATGACCCCCAGTTACTGTCCAAGAAATCAAAAGGAAAATAAAACAGAATTATATATTCCTGGCTGTTGAATTCCCCGCCAACTAATTTTATATACCCCTCCCTGGAGTATCTCTGGGGTCAACACCATTCATTTGAAAAAGAAGGGATTTGAGTGACCTGAAAGTAGCCTGTGTACAGATGCTGCCTCCCCTAAAGAGAGAGAGATGTCTGTGTCACACCACTGTAAATAGTGTTCTTGATTCCCAGAATGTGGGGGAAAGCCTCTGATTGGCTGCTTTGTTAGTGCCGTGACGTAAGTAAATTGTGGTGTTGTGATTGGCGAATGACAGCTTACCAAAACATTTATACATTTACTTATTTTTAGGCATTCTGGAAATAAGTATGTAAAGCTAAAAGATATCACAACCGTTTGCCGCACCAGTTGCGACTGCATGTTTTCTCTGCAGGTTGCTATTGTAAATAAAAGAGAACTTGGATGCGGGCTTAATCAGGGATCTTACATAACTGGATTTCAGCATGGACATTGCATGGAAGTTAATTTTTGGGCATACATGTGTGCATCATGACTCATAAAATTAGAGAAAAGAATAGCTCTAATTTCTTGCTGAAGAGAAGTGAATGATTCTTTACATTCAACCTACTCAAAATCATTGACTGGACAATATCCTGCATTAAAAACGCTTGATTGGAAATACCATTGCTTCTGAGATCAAACTTCTGTCAAACCAAAAACCACAGGAAATTGATGCACAGGAAATGGACAAGCTTTATGACCTCCCAATGTAAGATGGGAGAACATGTGTAAGTATCCTCCAAAGCACAATACACTCATTATAAAGAAAAGATGACTGAGAAAATGATATTTTAGCTGGAAATTCTGGTCAGAGCCCAGCTACAAAGGCTGAGAACTGTGCTGTACAAGAGTCGTGTTGGTCTGTCAACATCTTTTCAACTGACAGAGAAAAACAAAAAAAATTACCTATAAAAATGTATACCAGAATGCAAATATTAATGACGGCATGACAAAGAGGTCTCTCCCCCCAATTCTTTTTGAGGGAAGGGGGAGTCAGTACACAGGCTAGCTGAAGCCAGACTGTCTACAGTCAGATGATAATATTTTTATATTTCACATCCCTGCTTTAGTTTTATACCTGGCTAATGGAAATGAAACCATGTGTATGTTTGTACCGTAAAAGAAAGAAAATGCATGATCTTTATGCAATAAATAAACATGACTGGTTATATTCACACATAGCAAGAATAACAGAGGGACCACCTCGCAGGGCCGACTATTAAACACCTCACTTTTTAATTAAAAAATAATAATGTTCGGAAGTTTTTGAACAGTTTCGATCTTCCTTAGTTAAAGACTCTGGTTAAAGACAGACTCATGGGGGTCACCATGAATTTCCGGTTGCTTTCATGAGGTTCTGGAGACAGTTTGCTCTTCCAATTCAGCCGACACACACACGGAAAAAGGGTACTAGAGACCAGAGAATAAACTACTCAAGCACATCCACCGTTTGCGTTGATTTGTCTAGCTTTGAAAAAAAACATAGATCCCCGAGGGAGAAATCTGAGGATTTCCTGTTGTATTTCAAGGTCACACACGTTGGAGTGCAGCCGCGTAGGATTTTATCATGCCATGACCACGGTCGACGTTAGAACTGGGTTTCTGCGCGAAAAAAGCCAGTTCAACGGGAAGGAAGATTTTCCTCAAGATCTCCACACAAAACAAGTTTGTATGTTTTGGGAAAGGACGCTGCAGATGTGTTCGTTGAAAACAGTCAAACGCCAAAATCCTCAAACAAAACATTACACGTAGTAAGAGGGAAAAATTTAATAAAAAAATCATTTAGTATACCGAATACAACAAGACGGGAGAAACAGAGCACTACTACAGCACAATTTTACACACAAAAACCCTACAGAGGTTTAATTATAACCCGATCGTAAAACTAAGAAGCGCGCATTTAGCGCCAAACTAAATGATTAAAAGTAACTGACATGTCTACCCAAGTTTTAGCTGATTCTGCATGGTTTTTTACTCATGATAATAGGTGATGCTTTATAGTTTTCGAAATCAAAAGCAAAACAAAACAAATCACTTACCGTGCCAAAGGGTTCCGTGTGCGTCAAAAACCGCAGCAATCGTCTGTTGTCCGCCGTCCCAAAAATTATCCGCGTATGCATCGTAAATTTGGCGCCGTCTGTGTCGGTAGACGTGAAGAAACACGGCACCTCCGTACATTGTAATAAGAAAAATTACGGGGTAAATAAATACGATGACAAAGGGCGAAAGAAGGAGCATCAACCAGTCCATCTTGCACGTTGCCCAAGAACTGGTGTTTTGATCCCTTTGATGTGCGTGGATAACCTGTGTGAAAAACCATACCACAGGTAACCCAAGCATTGGAAAGATAATTGCCCAGGGGGGTGGCTACACCGGATTTCAAGTGTCGGGGTTTTTTGGGTTTGAAATTTTCGACTCCGGGATATTTTTGGGTAAGATAATTTGGCACGTATTTTTTCGGGTGGCTTGATCTAAGTAGGGAATGGGTTCTTCCCGATATTTAAAACAATAGGCTGATTTAGCAACAGTTGACGACGGGAAAGCGAGCGGAGAAAGGACAAAACACGACTTCCGGTGCTCAATTTGCCGCTCTGCCATCGGTCAATCAAGTTGTTTGATTTGCGCGCGCCGTCGTCCGCGCCGTCGTCAACTGACGTTCCCGTTCTGTTGCTAAATCAGCCTAATATAAAGATTCGTGATAACTTCAGATGGTATAAATCAGCCTAATATAAAGATTCGTGATAACTTCAGATGGTATATGATGAATAAACAAACAAAAACAGTGATGGGCTCCTGAAAAAAAAGACATTCGATTTCTAATGTTTCTATTATTTAATTATTTAATGTTTTTTTTTTTGTAATTTTTAAGGTTCGGAAATTCGGCATGGGATTTTTTTGGATTTTGTTGGACGGCCTACGGATTTTTTTTGGGTTTTGGTTTTTGCCCTCATTCGATTCCCCGTCATTTGAAAATCCGGAATAGCCCCCCCCGGGGGGATAATTGGACTTTCCATGATGAGGACCCGCATACGACTTTCTTTTGCACACCACATGATGCCGGCGTTGTTAAGGATGCTAAGTTTTGAGTGACAAGCAATAAACTTCCTACTGCGAAAAGCAATCAGTTTCTTCACCGTTTGATCTAGCCTGCGTGGCAGGCGTATGAAAGGGAAGGGAAAGGCGGTTTTGGGCGCGAGGGAAACGCGAGGGGCGCGCGAGGAGGGTCCCCTCCCCGCGCGCTTCTTGCGTTTCTCTCGCACCTAAAACTCCCTTTCCCTTCCCTTTCAAACGCCTGCCACGCAGGCTACGTTTGATCCAACCATCAGGGTCGGTAATACATTTTTTAACAAGATTAAAGCGGCTTCTGGCGATAGAGTAATTAGAGAAGAGATTTCAATTTGCGTTCTCAGCTCACGAGTTATCCAGAATAATCGCGCATAGCCTACGACTCAAGCGTTGCCTTTCTGGTCTTTGCCAGTATTAAAATGTAGCGTAGTTCCATATTGTATTGAATGTATTGAAGGTCGCAGAATTTAAATAGAATCGGACGAATGCACGGGACGAAAAAACGGATTTACCAAACGTCAAAGGTGAAGTCAAACGGGCGATAAAGGCCACCTTTGCACACCTTTGTACAACTTTGACGCGCGACAAATGTTTACCTTTGTCCGCGGTCAAAGGCGAGTCTTCAGGCGATAAAGGCCGTTTTTGTTACGCCTTTAACCCCTACCTTTGACGCGCGTCAAAGGTATATTTCATTAGCATTTGCACCCGTATCAAAGGCGTCGTCAAATATGTCTGAGATTCAGGCCAAAGGTGTGACAAAAGCGCGGCAAAGTTATGTCTGTGATTAAAGTCAAAGGCTTGTGAAAAGTGTCGTCAAATGTGTCTGAGCCTCAGGTCAAATGTGTGACAAAGTTGTCGTCAAATGCGTCTGAGATTTAAGTCAAAGGTTTAACAAAGGTGTTGCCAAATATGTTTGTTTTTTTTCCTCCCCTCGCATCGCGCTGCCTCTCGCTTGTCTCCCTCTCGCTTGTCTCGCGCTGCGCGTGAATTCCGCGTTCGCCTCGCGCTTCGCGCGAATGCCGCGTTATTGCCTCGCTAGTCATAAGCGCTTGATATACAGGCTAGAATCCAACTTGAGATTTCAATCAAATTCAATTGCGACCTGGATACCGTTTAAAAAGGTGGACAGATAAGAGACTGAGTTCTTGATCTTGTACTTTATTGTCCTAAAACCTCATTAGATGATTAGAAAGCTGAATAATTCCGATTAAAACTTAAACGCATAAAAATGATTTTTTAAAACCTTTTCACGATTTATTGTCTAAAGAGTTTGACTAATAGTCGCGGGTCGCGGGTCGCGGGTCCAATGTCGCGGTCGCGGGTCCAAGGTCGCGGTCGCGGGTCCAAGGTCGCGGTCGCGGGTCTAAGGTCGCGGTCGCGGGTCCAATGTCCCGGTCGCGGGTCCAAAGTCGCGGTCGCGGGTCCAATGTCGCGGCAGCTGGAAAATGATTTGAAAACGACTGATATGAAAACAATATGAAGGGAAAAAATCTTTTTTGTGCACAATACTCTACGGTAGCCAATTTACAGGTTACGGATGTTAGAGTCAACAATATAATGTCTCAAGAAAAGACCTAAAAGAAAAAGCTGGCCGACTTTTGTGTTCACCGCAAGTTTATTTTGTTTTCTTTCTGTCGGGCCCAGTTAAGTGTAAATTCAGCTTTGAATATACTTATGTATAACAGTATCTGATAAAAAATGTTACCATGAGTAACCATTGTTTTCTTCTTGTCTATGAATTGCTCACAAATCCTTAGGGGTGCATTCACTGAAAAATGTGCGATACACTTCATAGACTATAAATTATAAACGTTACAACAACTTAAAACCTTTTTTAAAAAAGGCTAACTCGGGCTCGAAAAGCTACGAGTCTGTCGGTAGAAGAAACGAGAACTGTTTCAATTTTAACAAATGTTTTCGGCAAAAATAAAGAAAACGCTTGTTGAAAAACTTCCTGGTCGCTGTTACGAAAAATTGTATTGCGTGACTAGTGTGACTTTCTAGAAGCTTCGCGAGAGTTCATAATTTGTTTATTTTAGGATCTTGTGTAAGCGTTTCTAAAAGCGGTATATTTTGTAATCTTTCTATAATTAGACTATTTGGAAAGTTCTAGAATCTTATTGTAAACGTATATAAGGTAGGCGAGCCCGAGTTAAGTTTTAACTAGTTTTCACAAGAGAAGAGAGTTTGACGTTGGTCGTGTTTAGTCAAGTGTGACGAAGGCAGTTTTTATTCAAGTTGGCGGAGGCCGCGTAAGTTTAACGAGTTACGTGCTGTTGTGGAGTTTTACTCAGTGGAAACTACGTTCTTCTTTGGAATAAATCTTCTTGTTGCTGTTCCGACAACCCTGCGTTCAGTTTAGTTTGCAAGCTACCCGTCCTCTAAAAGATTACCCGCGTAAAAGTCGCAAACTCCCAAAATAAACTCTTTGCACAAGTAACTGGAAAGAGGAGGAGAGACGTTGGGCTTGAAGTGCCAGTAAAGTACATTCAAGCGGGTATTCAAGGCATGACTTTAATAAAAAAACAAGTACTAATCCACAGCAAGAGGGGATAAAGCTCCAGCTTTATCCTCTCCTGTCCACAGAAAGGAGTTTGTTCCCAATAACGATTGAAATCCGGAATCCAAGTTCTACTAAGAGAGAATAGATCATAGTCTCTTGGTTCTACTGACAAAGACTTGAATCCAGTACCTGGAATCTGGAATTACTTACCTAATTTATTGTCTTTTCTTAACTCTGGTGGAGTTGATAACTTACCGTTTTCAGTGTCTGGTTTACTTTCTTTTTCAGCTTCATGATATCGGGCGTTATTATTTCCTTACCTACTTACTCACTTAGTTATTTACGCTGCATGTTTTCAAGATTTGACTGAGACGCACATTGAATGGCTTCCTATTGTCAGGTTGTCCTGGTTGCCATTTAGGTGAAGAGAACAAGAAGTTATATTGAACTCTCTGGGTTGCCGTCTCAGTTGTAAAAATAAAAGCATTAAGCGAAAATCTTGCTTCGAGGAACAGACTCCTTTCTGTGGATTATTAGTTGTTTCCATATTAAATTCATGCCTTGAATACCGCTTGAATGAAGTTTCATGCGCCTATTTACATTTTCTTTCAGTTTTGTCGAAAACATTTGTTAAATATAAGAGTTCTCGTTTCTTCTACCGACAGACTCGTAGCTTTTTGAGCCCGAGTTCGCTTTTTTTTAAAAAAAGGCTTTAAGTTGTTGTAACGTTTAAAATCTGTAGTCTATGAAGTGCATCGCATATTTTTCAGTAATTGAACCCTTAAGCATTTGTGAGCAATTCATGGACAACAAGAAAGCAATGGTAACTTATGGTAACTTTTTTTATCAGATACTGTTATGCATAAGTATATTCAAAGCTGAATTTACACTTAACTGGGCCCGACAGAAAGAAAAAAAAATAAACTTGCGCTGAACACAAAAGTCGGCCAGCTTTTTCTTTTAGGTCTTTCCTTGAGACATTATTTTGTTGACTCTAACATCCGTAACCTGTAAATTGGCTACCGTAGAGTATTGTGCATAAAAAAGATTTTTTCCCTTTATATTGTGTTCATATCAGTCGTTTTCACTCAGCTGTTACCTCGAACCCCAAATCATTTTCCCCTGCCGCGACATTGGACCCGCGACCGCGACTTTGGACCCGCGACCGCGACTTTGGACCCGCGACCGCGACATTGGACCCGCGACCCGCGACCCGCGACTATTAGTCAAACTCTTGTCTAAAGTACTCATTGCAGTCCGTCAATGGACAATCATAATGACTGCCGCAAATTTTTGAAGCACTATAAATGTTCCAGATACACGCTGTTGTCACGGACGGCAACCTGCAAAATAGTTTAAAACACTTCTTTCACGCAAGCCAGTGCAAAAATCATGGTAAGTAACAAATGTTCTTGATCAGGAGCCCATCTGTCTTGATGTTATCTTTGCGAAGATTTTCATTTCAGAGTGCATTTGATTCTTGATGTAAGTGAACGACAAACGCCATGTATCTAACTTCAATCCTCCTCTGTTGTGTGTTTCGTTCCACTGGAGACTTGTCACTTTGCCTTGTTTCTTTTATCTGTGAAATAATTGTAAAAGAATATAGCAATTTGAGATAAAAAATTCAGTCATAGTGTTTTAAATAAATTTTTCGGCCCCACTCCCTTTTTACTATCCTCCTTTTCTGCAGAAAATCCCCCTTTCTCTTTACCTATA